AAAAAAAAAAACCCAAAAAAACTTTCTGACATAATGAAAAGCCAGAGCACTCAGGCAATGCAGTAAAGGATGCAAATGGATTTGTAACCAGATGTCTGCTCATCATGTCACACATTTGCTCCTTGGTGATTTGAGGGGAGCTGCCCCTCAGCTCAGTGGCTCCCTCCTTCCATGACCTGCCCTCCTGAATAGGAAGAAATTCTTTTATTGCTCCCTGAGAAAGAAAAATCCCCTCTTTTCCCTCAGAGGGTCTATCCAACCTGAGATCTTAAATAATTGTATGAATGAGTTCCACAATCAAAAAAAAAAAAAAAGAAAATCACAACTGCATTAAAATGACATTAGAAACAAAAGTATTACTATGCCACTGATATAAAAAAAAACCTTGTCCCAACCTTTAATAAAATTGAAAGGGTGGGAACTTTGTGCAATATTATATTACTGGGGCCTTGTGGTCAGTGGTCTCCTGTGAAGACTGGGGCCACTTCTAACCAAGGAAAGAAACGGGCTCTTTTTTAAGAACTTTGACTAAGTAGAATGAACTATACTTATTTTTGAAAGTCAGAGTCTCATTTAGCTACCGCTCATGGCTCTCTCAATAGCAAGTTTCATACATCTATTGTTAGAAATTGAGTATATTATTTACTCAGTATGCTGCGTGCTAATAGTTTTATGTTAAACTGGTTTCTTACCCTGTACTACCTTCTCTCCAACAAGTCCCACAAATCCTTGGGATTCTTTGCTCATGTCAGCAATTAATTTGTGAGAAATTTACTTGTATGGATTCCAACAGAAATTAAAGAAATAGTAAGCAGAAGTGGCATTCTTGAAACATTTTTCCATTTGGAGGTCAACGTAATAGAAAAACCAGAAGGCAATTTCTGGTCTCAAAACTTAATTGGTAGAAAATGCCCTTTAAAATGGTACCATTCTTCAATGAGGTTTTCTAAAAGGCCATTTGGTTTACCTCTGATTTTTTTTTTTTTTTTAGGAAAAGACCTATTTAAGTTAGGATGTCATAAAACTAAACAATTAGAGAAGAGAGCATTACCAAATCAGAACAGTGAAGATGGAAATGCTCCTTTAAATGATTCAACGCATCTTCTACAACTGATTTTAATAATCACAGGTACAATTCAAAAGTGTCTCAAGAAGTTGCACAGCTTATAAATGTCCATAAATGCTTATAAAAATATTTTAAAGTGTCATTTCTGCATTCTGTAAACACAAACACTTGATAGAAATCACATCATTTTCTGTGTTAGTAGCATTACAACAACATTCTGATGAGGAAAATAAATGACACAGTTGCAGTTTCATCAACGCAAAACAGCTGTAGATAAATCAGAGCACTAAAGTAGGTGTTCCTAATCAGTGTACATTATATACACAGAAATAAGCCTATAGAAAAATTAAACATTTTAGTACGCCTACAGTTACATCTCAGTCTCTTGAAACATACTATACAAAATTACTACTTAGAAATCACAGTGATTCTCAAGATAACACTGGGAGAGCACTAAGGTATCAAAAGCAACAAAAGACATCTTACCTGCACCAGAACAGATGATATCTTGAGAATTCTTGCACATTTCATTGCTTTTCCTCCGTGTAAGATTGCAAGTAGTTGGATACTGACAAGCTTCACCATACCAGCCTTCATCACATTTGCACTTCCCACAGTCACACTTTCCATGGCCTAGCAAAAGAAGGAAAGAGTGTGTCAAGACCCTTCTTTTCTCATTCAGAAAGCGGTATTTTCTTATCCAGCTTTTAAAATAGATTCCATCAATTACATTTTTAAATGAACATGACTAACAGATTAACTTAACACAGTTTATATGCAATTAAAAATAGCAGGGAGACAGCCAGCACATGGCTCCACCAAGGACAAGGCCTGCGTGACCAACCTGTGCCTTTCTATGATGGAGTGACTGCATCAGTGGACGAGGGAGGAGCTACAGATGTCATTTATCTGAACTTCTGTAGAGCATTTGACACTGTCCCCCTCAACATCCTTCTCTAAACTGGAGAGATGGGTTTGATGGGTGAGCTGTTAGTGTGTAAGGACTTGGTTGGGTCACATCAAGAGGCCAGTGGTCAACTGCAGAGTCCTGGAGCACACCACTGACAGCTGGAGTCCCTCAGGGACCGGTACTGCAGCCAGTGTTATACTGATTGTCTTCCTAATGACACGGCAAAAGGATCAAGTGCATCCGCAGCAAATTTGCAGCTGAGTGGTGCAGTTGACACACCTGAAGGATGTGATGTCATCCAGAGGGACATGGACAGGCTCAGAAAGGTCCCTTGGAATCTCATGAGGTTTAACAAGACCAAATGCAACATGCTGCTCCTAGGCTGGGGCAACCCCCAGTATCAACACAGGCTGGGGGATTAACAGATCAAGAGCAACCCTGCCCAAAAGGATTTGGGGAGGGCTGGTGGATGAGCACCTGGACAATTTTCACTATTTATGTTGCATACAAAGTATCATTTTTTTACACTAACTTCCAGGAGCGAATTTTTAGTACTTCATTCTTTAGCATTTTACAATTTTAGGTAGCAAATGTGAAAAAAAAAAATGCATCTCTTTTAAACAGAGAATTAAATTTTAAAATAAATATCTTTTGAATATATATCTGATTACAGAATATTCCCATCCTATCACTGTATCCTAAAACCAGAATCTAATTGCAGTCTATTTTAAATGCATCTGTTCCTGTGATTAGAATTAGCTGCCTGAAAAATACAAGCCCAGTCTACTGCCAGCAAGAAGGAGTTTAAATAAGTATTGTAAATTACAATTTTAATTAGAAAAGGTTGTCTTTTTTGTTGCTCAAGAAAACTTTGCTTGCCTTTCAACATAGTCCTAAGGCAAGATACAGTTTAATAGCTACAAAAAACATAAACCAAAAACATAAGAAACCATGTTAGTTCTTGTTTTAAAACATGAGTTGCCATCTTAAAAAATGCTGAATTGCTTCATTGGTAAAGTACAATTAAAAAAAGGATATAAAATACAGAATAAAAAACCTACTCTAGTGACTATTCTGCTTCACTGACAGACAACAGCATAAAACTATTTCAGAAAGTGGTGGTAAATCCTAGGTTAGCTTAGAAAAAAAAGTAAAGAAAAAACATAACCATTTTCCTTTCTTTGAAGGATTGCTTGTCACTATGACTGCATTCTCTGTGTTAGGCACTCTCGTGATTTAACAGTGTGATGTCTGCTGGTGAAGAAAAGATACTCTAATAAAAGTGGGACTAATTTTCCCACTCCCATATCTAAATGACAGAGTAAGGCAAAAGTCACATAATATCAGTTATTAGCAATGGTCCACCACCACTAACCTCTCTCAGAAATGCACTAATCTAACACATGATGCATGAAGGAAATAAATAATTTCACTTAAAAAGCAACATTGTTGAAAGAAAATTAATAAAATGTTTTCAAGAGAGAGGTTATACAGAGGAGTCTCCCGCCTTTAACAAGAAAACACAAAAATAATGTAATTAATAAAGCTTTGAGAAGTAATGGAAGATTATTTTCATGCAACAGAAAAACTGTCAGGAATCTAACTCATGAATTTGTAAGATTGCACACATGATTTTCACCAAAATTAAAACATATTAATTTTGCCATTTGGATTTTTAATTGCAAAGCAATGGCAATATTCTGCCCAAAAATTTGGGTGAAAGGTCTATATTGAAATGCAGAAGGCCATAACTGCCTGCAATAACTTCTGCATCTCCCTGCATCTTCTCTGTCACATGGATGATGCAATTGATCTGCAAGTCAGTTTGAAACAGGAATCCTTTTGCTTTTCTCCCACACCCAGGTGTACCAACACTATAGCCTTCCTCGTGACAAAAAAAAAGATGTGATAAAGTATAAACCAAGTATGTGATAAACTGTAAGAAAATTAGGGAAAGCACCTAAGTTTTCCTGCTGGGTTTAGATTTTTTTCAGAAAGGTTTTTGTAGGATCCTATTTGTTGTGTATAAATTTCTGCATTATTTAGAAAGCAAATAATGTTAGGAAATAGAAAAAAAGGAGTAACTATCACTATGAAAGCTATGAGGTGAGAATGCATCTTCCCATAAAATAATTTTAGCAATAAACGGTAGACCCGGGTATTTGAGAATGTGACACAGTATATAAGAAAAGTGAAGAATAAGACTTCACTAAATAGTTGGTCAAGAAAGCTGCATCTCAAAGTGATGATACACTCATTCCATTTTTTAAAAAATAACTAACACAAATAAATGCTAAACACAAATAAATCAGAAGTTCACTAAAAAACATACTCAAAAAAAAATCAACAAAAAAACCGAAAAGCAAGTAAATAAGGAAGACTCAAGAAAATGTAGTAATTCCTTTAAGAAAAAGACTGTCTGAGGACTATGAAAAACTTGCAACTTCAAACACTGGGAGAAACATTTTATAACAAAGGGCTCAATTTCTAACTAGATGAGCAATCACCTCAGAGAGTATATCTGGACTATGCAGGAAGCTTTTAGGGTGGAACACAAAATTAATATGCTAGGAAAACTGTCAGATGTCACAAAATATATAAAGAAAGTGAGAACAGAAAATGTTAGGCAGGGTCAGATCCTGCAAAATTTCAAGCACTAAAATGTACTTTCATCATCCAAATAAAAAGAAAGCAAGAAAAAGAGTGGC